AGAATAGAATAGAGTAGAATGGAATAGAATAGAATGGAATAGAATAGAATAGAAATATTGGAATGAAATAGAGTGGAGTGGAATGGAATGGAATGAAGAATAGAATGGAACAGAACAGAATAGAATAGAATAACAGGGTTGGAAGGGACCTTGGAGGTCTTCTAGTCCAACCTCAGCTCCGGTAGGAAACCCTATACCGTCTCAGGCAAATGGTTATCCAATCTCTTCTCTAAAATGTCCAGTTTTTATATACCTGTGCTATCACTATACCTAGTTACATGTACCTGCACATACACAGACACCTATTAATCCCTCCATTTGGAATCCATTGTGGAAAGAGGAAGCTTGAGAGAGTTGACAAGGCCGATGCTATATGGAACAAAGCTGTGGCCGATTCTGGATGTTCTTCTTCGGATACCATGAAGGCCCCCAACTCCCCCCCCCCCCCCCCCCCCCAAGGCAACAAGGAAAAGAGGCCGTGCAGAGGATGTTGTGGCGTCCCAGGCAATCCTGCGGGACCCTTCCTCGCAGCATCCGGTCCCCTTGGTGTGGGGCAGAGTCTCACAAGCCAGCATTTAACATGGCCTGCTTGCCCCCCGCCCCCCCAAAGCAGGTCTTGTCCTACTTTAACCACGACGAAGCCTGTCTTTATTCCTGGCATCTGGCGGTGTGTTCCTTTTCTTCTCTCCCCCCGCACCCCTGCACTCAGGGTTCACAATGAAATAAGCCGAATTAAGTGTTCGAGTGCTGTTTTCTGGAAGAATAGAGCTGCTCAAATTCTTATGGCCTGCAGTGACGGTTGCAATTTTTAATCCCTTTTATTCCTTTCTTTCAAAGGAGCTTGCTGCGTTCACATTTCTCCTGTTTCTCTCTCTTCCTCCCCCTCTCTTCCCAGCTGTAGGAAGAGAGCGGTATTAAAGATTGGTGAGGATGTGGCGTAGCTTATATTCCTCTTTTTTTTTTTTTCTTCTTTTTCTTTTTTTCCCCGGGGACATCCCCCCTTGTTACTCCGTTTTTTTTTTATTGGGTTTCCTGTCATTTAACATTCATCTCCACAGCAGAAAGTAAAAGAGCAAAAGCTCAGCCGCAGCGTTGCCAAGGAAGAAGGAAGGACAAAAAAGAAAATTAAAAAGAGAACCGCGCTACTTCAAAAGTCTCCCCTTGGGTTCTTTTCGTGTTTTCTGCGGCTGCTGATAGTTAACAGTGTGCCAAAGCTATGATGATTGCCCCCACAAACATGAATTTAAAAGCTTCTTTTCAAAGGAAATAAATACACAAAAACGTCCTAATAAAGATGTTTTTTCTCTCCATCCTCTTAAGTCAGGGTGTCCAACTTTGAGGACTTTAAGATTAGTGGACTAGTGGCCAGCTATGCTGTCTGGGGAATTCTGGGAATTTGAAGTCCACAAGTCTTAAAGTCACCAAAGTTGGTCACCCCTGTTCTGATTTCTAGCTCATATTTGGTTGGCTGTGTAGTTTGGGTCTGGAGCCCAGTTGGCATTCTTCAGGAGCAGTCAGCAGGATTTGTAGCTGGCAGAACAGACTGTCCAAAACCACGTTTAAATCTAGCTTTATAAACATCTAAGAATTCTTTATTGGCCAAGTCTGATTGGACACACAAGGAATTTGTCTTCGGTGCGTAAGCTCTCAGTGTACATAAAAATACATTCATCAAGACTCATAAGTTACAATACTTGGTGATCGTCATAGGATACTAAAGAAGCCATCAAACCATACTAGGAAACTAAATAAAACAATATCGTAAAGATACAAGCAACAAGGTTATAGTCATAAGTAGAAAAGGAGATAGGTAATAAAAAGGATCAGAAGAATAGTAATACAGTCTTAGTAAATAGTTTGACAGTGTTGTGGGAATTATCCTTTTCCCCCCAAAATATGACCTATCCTTAAAATAAGTCTTAGCTTGATCATGTGTGCCCAATATAAGCCCTACGCCCAAATAAGCCCTAACTGAGATCTCGTCCACTCCAGAATACACAGGTAAAAATTAAGCTAGGGTGGGCATGGGAGGGTGGAGCTGCCCTACTACTTACCTTTGGACAGTTGTAGCCAGGCCTCACATACCCCGACACCTGCCTCACTGGCCCATTTCTTCTGCAGCCGGTAAGGCTGGCCAGGCTTTCCTGAAGGCCTCTAGATCGATCCTGAGCTCTTATTCACTGCAGAGGCCTTCAGGATAGCCTTGCCGGCCGCAGAAGAAGAAGTTCCTGAAGGCCTCTGACAGCGAAAAGGAGGCTGGTGGCAATGCACGCAAGTGAAGTTAGTCAGTGGATGACTTCCCCTGAAAATAAGACCCGGTGCCTTTTTTGGTGGCCAAAAAAAATGTAAGACAGGGTCTTATTTTCGGGGAAACACGGTAGTTGTTTAACTGAGTGATGGCATGTGGGGAAAAACTGTCCTTGTGTGTCTAGTTGTTCTGGTTTGCAATCTAAATTTATAAGCCTCTATCCTCCTCCTGCTCTTCTGGTTATGAGCTCTTGGGGGAGCAGGGAATTGTAGCTTTGAAGGACAACTTCTCCGCAGAGTCTAGAAGAACCTGGGGAAAATTGTAAGGGGTGGTTAAGCTCCCTCTTCTTGTTGCCCCCCAGGGTCACGCGGCCGACGTCTTCGAGGCCTACACTCAACTTCTGACAGAGATGGTCCTGCGGCTGCCCTACCAGATCAAGAAGATCGCCGACACCAACTCCCGCATCCCGCCCCCTGTCTTCGATCATTCGTGGTTCTACTTCTTGTCTGAGGTTCGTCGTCTATATTGAGCCGCTCATGGGCTCCAGAAGCCGTTAAATGGCAGCTGCCTTGGCTCCTTTCTGCAGAGCCCTCTCGGCGGAGTCTGGTGCAGGTTTGATGCTCAGGCTCTCCTGCCCTAAAAGCCATTTTACTCTGCTTTAGCGGGGACTTTCCAGGCTTAAGATGGGACGTACCATCTGGGTGGGTGGCAGGTGAGGAACTCATTAACCTAAAGTCCAGGGAAGTAAAAGCCTCCCTCTTTCTCCCACATCTCCATAAAGGCGGCTCTATGACAACTTGCCACAGATAACTCACAACAGCCAAAGGAGGGACAAAATGAAATGTGAAGGACAAAAAGGGAAATGTTTTTAAAGTTACTTCAAATAGTTAAATTGAATTGTTGAATTGTCCTGCAGTGAGTTGTCCCATAATGAGTGGCCCATGGCGAGTTTGCCATGGTGAGTTGACCATGGCGAATTAGCTGTGGCTAGTTGGCCATGGCAAGTTGTCCCATGGGTAGAGTTGGCCAACTCACCAACTCCTGGTGAGTTGGCCATGGCAAGTTGGCCATAGTAGAGTTGGCCATAGTAGAATTGGCTGTGATGAGTTGGCCATAGTAGAGTTGGCCATAGGAGAATTGGCTGTGATGAGTTGGCCATAGTAGAGTTGGCCATAGTAGCGTTGGCCATAGTAGAGTTGGCCATAGTAGAGTTGGCCATGGTGAGTTGGCTGCCGCGAGCTGTCCCATTCCGCCATAAAGGCCCCTTTCCCCAGAAAGCAGACTTTTGGAAAGCTCTCCCACCATCTCTCCTTCCTTCCAGTACCTGATGATCCAGCAGACGCCCTACGTGCGGCGTCAGGTGCGCAAGCTGCTCCTCTTCATCTGCGGCTCCAAGGAGAAGTACCGCCAGCTGCGGGACCTGCACACCCTCGATTCCCACGTCCGGGGGATCAAGAAGCTGCTGGAGGAGCAAGGCATTTTCCTGAGGGCCAGCGTGGTCACTGCCAGCTCCGGCTCCGCCCTGCAGTACGACACCCTCATCAGCTTGGTAAGCGGGGAAACTGTTGTGCAATTGTGTGTTTGTGTGCGTGCCTTCGGAGTTTAGCCGAAGCATCTTGAGGAGGAAATCTGCAACCCTCAGCCCATCCTCTCTTTGGGGAATAAACCTCTGGGTTTCTTATAGGCCTTTGTCCCCCCCGCCCAAAATCTCCCCTTGCTTGCAGATTCCCTCTCCCTCCTCTGCCACCTGCAGCGCGAGATGTTTAAGAGGGGGCCCAGCCTTTCCCAGGACGGTCCAGTCCTTGAGCTTGACGTGAAGAGGAAGGGGAAATTTTTAACTTCTCCAGAGGGGCTTAGGGGGATTTTGTGGGCTGAGGAGAAGTTTGAGCTTCAGTAAAGGTGCAACCATGAGCTCAAAACCTCAACATTGAGAAAACCGTGGCTCCCCAGAGTTCTGAACTCATGTATGGCAGGAGTTGTAAGTCGGCAGCATGTGGACGTGGCATAAAATTACACAGTGAAGCCCAGTTTTCATACCAGCATTGAAGATCCCTGGGTGCCCTTTGTTGAAATAAACACCTGGCCTTTGCAGATGTTCTCTCAAAAACCTGTTGCCCCCTCCTCCTCTCCTTCTCCTCCTTCCTCCTCCTCCTTTCCTCCTCCTCCTCCATCCTTCCTCCACTACTCACTACCTCCTCCCCCTCCCCTCCCTCCCCCTCCCCTCCTCCTCCTCCCCTCCTCCATCCATCTTTCTCCTTCCCTCTCCCCTCCTCCTCCCCTCCTTTCCTCCATCCCCCCTCCTCCTCCTCTCCCCCTTCTGCCCCTTCCAGATGGAGCACCTGAAGGCCTGCGCCGAAATTGCCACGCAGCGCACGGTCAACTGGCAGAAGTTCTGCATCAAAGACGACTGTAAGTCCCTTGGGGGGGGCTTGCAAGGAATCGTGGCCCCTCCCCGGGAGGCCCAATGGGATCCCCGTGCTCTTCTTTGGGCTTTTGGGTCGGGAGTGGTGGGGGGGGGCGATGGGAAGGGCCAAAGATTCCTAGTTCCTGGGCCGTTGCAGCCTCAACTTGTAGACCCTTCAAAAGCCTGAAGCTGCCTCCCTTGTTCCTGCCTGCCTCTGCTTGGCCATAACATCTGGCAGAAATCACGTTTACAGGGTGCTTTTTTTCATGAACGTGGAAGAAAAACCAGCCTTCCCCCTTTTCTTCCTCCTCCTCCTCCTCCTCCTCCTCCTCCTCTTCTTCACCTTTCAGCTGTCCTCTATTTCCTGCTGCAAGTCAGCTTCCTGGTCGACGAAGGTGTCTCGCCCGTCCTCCTGCAGCTGCTCTCCTGCGCCCTCTGTGGCAGCAAGGTCCTCTCTGGGTCGGCTTCGGCCGGCTCCTCAGGCACAACAGTCCCCGGAGGGTCCAGCTCAGGCCAGCCGTCCGGCCAGAGCAAATCCTCCACCAAGAAGAGCAAGAAGGAAGACAAGGAGAAGGAGCGAGAGGGTGAGGCTGTCGAGGCCTTGGGGCTGCGGGTGGGCAGGTGACCTGCGGCCCTCCGAAGGT